CCTTCAGCAAGTTGTTGGGGTAAAATATTTTAGGCAAGGTCTGTTTTGAAGTTGTGACATTTTTCTCAATTGTAACTTTTAGGAAAATTGTTCCAGGAACTTGAGGAACATGTCTTAAAACAAAGCATTGATCACACCTGCCAAGAGGCTGTTGATGAAGTCTTCTGTGAATTGTTATTGCTGTAGGTTTATACAGTTCTCATATGCCAAGGCTCTGTCCACCCCCAATGCTACCCCCCTCCCCATATTTTGTTGCGTCCAGGAATACTGACAATGCTTTCTTCAATTCATTTACAAGATCATCAGTTTTACCCACTATTTTCTTTTAAAGGAAGGTATTTAAAGATTTTAAGGTAATCGTATAATAAAAGATAAACCATAGGTTAAAAATCTACAACAATTTCTTCAAACGTGATGTATTTCTCCTGAGGGTAGAGTATTAATAGTTGAGCTAAATTGTTTTACTTTGTTTATTGAGGAGAATTTTGTGATAATTTTTGCGATTTTCTATGCATGTATTGCCTGCCTGTAAGTTTAAAGGACTGGGTTTGAGTTTGTGATGTCAGTTGGTCAACATGGCGATGACCTGATGGAGAGAACGGGGGGCACAAAGTTTCTCGTCGAAGGCGTGAAAAATGCCCGAAAATTCATCTTCCTGGGTTGTAATGGTTTAAGAGGATGCACTGAACTGCCTCTTTGACCAGGATGGAAACAAGGTTTGTGAGAATATACTCAAATTAGACGTGATTTTCTCCAACATTTTGGGTTTTTCGATCGATCGCGAAGAGATTGTTTTACGACTCGTGAAGTTGTCATGACGTTTGATTTCTTTGCCATCGTAGCTCAGAAAATGAAGTAAAATTGGAGGAAGCACCCTCAGATAAAGGTGATTTAACACGATGTGATGTTTTTGTGTTTATTTTGTTTTGGTATTTTCATATTGCTTATCTGTACCTAAAGCCCATGCATTGACAGTAAATTTACGTAGAAGAAAGGGTGTTATTTTTAGTGACACAAATTCATCTTTTCAGAATTAATGAAGAAGTACGTTTGATTTCGAATATATTGCTGCACTTAGCAAGCTCTTGGGTCTCTTGGGTGATATATGCTCACAAGTGTAACTCGAGATTCGTCAGGTGACAATTCTATTGTGTTTGATCTGAGATTCTTCTACGTGGGAAAGCGAAACTTAATAACGCTTTTATAAGGATTATGGATATTATCTAGCGCATAAGTATTTTTATTGGACCTCTTTCATTAAGGATATTTTGAAATAATATGACAATATTGAAGGTTAAAATGGATTTTCAGGTTTCAAGACTTCTGTTAAGTTTGATCTGTAATCAGTCTTTGGTTAGGAATTATGACAATTATTGATCTCGATCGATAAAAGAAAGATACTAGTAAAAACTCTGTTGAAATAATTTGTTAAACTAAAATTTATTTGAATGTCTGACATCAACACTTGGGAGCTTTGTGTAGCATAATATTTCGAGACTTATCTGTTGGACAGATGCACTTTGTTTATGTGGTAAATCTCAGCAATTTGATGTTGATAGGATAAAATTTTAAATTGAGCAAAGTGTAACCTAGCAACTGGAAATATGGAGTGTTTATGAGGGGAATTACATGTACCCCCCCCCTCACCCTATAGGTGAATTTGTTATAATTGCTGACTGTGACCTTTAATTGCCAAATACCTTAAGATGTTACTCCTTTTTCATGAATGTCGAACAAAGAAAGAAAAACCTTAATTAATTTATTTACTTTAAGTCAACTCTCAACATTGCTGATCTTAGCAGTTTGCAGAATATTTGTCACCTGTAAAGCCCCTAAGCTTACTTTCAATTTCTCCTGGATGACCTAGGTTTCTCTTTGTTCCACCATGGACAAAAAGAAAAACTTTTCTTTTCAAGAAATCAGTATCTCAATACAAATCTGGGTCCACTGTTTGAAGAGAAGACATTGGTACTGTTAAAAGATGAAGAGTATTGTTCCCAGCAAGATTGTTGAAATCAAATCAGCTCCATTTCGACCATACTAGTGAGCCGAACAATAAAACAGCCCATAGAAAAACTCGCCCTCAACAACCTTCTTGTCCTTGTTCTTTTTTACACGCACGTGCTTACCATCTTATTTGGTAGTACTGCTGAATGTCACTAAACTGTGAGGGGTGGGCTTGTTAAAACTCTCGTACACTAGGTTAATAGAAATCCATAGAGGTGGGAGAATTATCTTGTATTATTTTGATGACTGAGGACTTCAATAGGAGAAGTGCTTGTTAACTGTCGCAGTTTGCTGTTAGGCCTTGTATTATTCTACTGCTTTTAATTTAAATGCTGGGTTATGAGTATTTTATGGTATATTATGGTATATTTTTACAGAATCTGGGATAGGATGTCAGGGATTTGAGGACAAGGAAAAGTCTGAACAGCAACACCACCATGATGATAAGCAGTGAGTTCTGTTGTATGGATGAAAATTAAAATGTAATGTGTTACTCATTACCACCAGGGGCAGAGTATCAAGTATTGTGAACTACTGACTAATAAATTCTTACCACCATTTGACGGCATCTGTGATCTATTACGGAACAGTCCCTTGGCAATATAGAATCTATTTGTTAATGAGAAACCAGTGTCTTGGTTATGTCCACTGATGTGTGTTCCCTTGGTGAGTTTGCTCTGTATAGGGGAACCTTTGTGTTCCTTTGTTCACTTGAGTTATTAACAGATTGATTGATCTTTATTCAGATTGGATGCATCCTACCAAATTCCTGCACTTTCAAAGTCCAGAGTGTTCTTTTTGAACATCTCTTGGTTTGGCATGAATGTAATGTATCTTATTCTCTCTGTTGAGGGTAAGTGTTTGATTCAACCAGTCAGTTGTAAAGGAAGCATTAAATTGTTAATGTATTTTTGAAAAGAGGCTTGAAAATTCCTCTTGATTTGTGATAAAGACCACAGGTTCAGCAAAATTTCATTACAAATTTGTTAAATGTGTACTAGCAAATTGCCAGTGATTTTGGTGAAATGCTTGGGGGGTGTAACCTTGTGATGAATTGGCATCCCATCCATGGGAGATAGTAATACTTCTAGTTGTTTCATGCTAAATAAACTGGGATCAGCTTTAGCTGGGTGAATGACATAGCTGGAGTACAGACTTGACCTTTAAATTATTGTTTTTATGCAGTTGTGCCATCACAAGTTTATGCACTGGTAGGTTCAGGGCAGAAGGGTCAAGTGCTTGGAGGCATGGTGGCTGCTGGAGCAGGTAAGTTCATCAGTTTCAAGTATCAGTGTAGAAATAGTTTTGTTGTTGATCTCACAGTGTAGTCAGTCTCTAACAGCCTAGTCTCCTCGAC